ACAACTCTTTGGATCCTGTTACTGGATCTAACGAACGCCTTTATCCACTGTGCCAGGACACATGGTACAGTGGATGAAGGCGTTGGTTAGATCCAGTAATATGACCCAAATAGTGTAAGTTCAATACCTGGTTAAGTCGGTGGAGAACTTGGAGAGGGAAATTAACTGGAGATAACTGATAACTGACATCCATTAAACATGGCACGTGGAACTAGAACAGTCTATCCCAATAAGCGAAATAAAGGGTTCTGTTCGACAGTCCAACCAACTGAAGAATGCCGGAGCGTTCAACGGCCGAAACGCTGTGATAAATATGGCGACAAAGATGGGTGCAATAGTCCGAATAATGTAAATAGTGTACATAATACCTCATCTCAGAAATATAGACAGATACCTACTGGCGTGTTAAAAATGCATTTCTTCTATAATTTAAACTTAAAGTAAGTTTGTTTCAAATGAGATTAATTAAACTAATATTCCTCAAATAAAGTTTCATAAATCTGTGTTTTATTTTTATGAGAATTTTTAATAAAGAATTACATTGTGATGATAAATGGCTTTTTTATGATTACAAAACAAAGACTCATTCCGGTCGATTTAAATTAGTTTTGAAATGCAACAAAGTATTTTGCTTTTTGGAAATATTAAATTTGATCTATTAGCTTGAAATTAAAATAGAAGCTTCAAGAAAGATTTTTAATTTTAAAAAGTTCATTTTAAACGTTAGGCGTCCCATTTCTGTGTTGATACTTACAATATATCAAGTGCCAACTTATCAACCATAGAATTTTTTTTTAACAACTTTAAAGAAAGAAATGAAGGAAAAAAGACGTCCCAAGTAAATATGGATGGACTGAGCTGTAACAGTGGGAAGGCTAAAACTTAACAAAATAAAATTTGACTTGCAGTTTCTTTCAATCGATCCTAAGTTGTGATAAATTATAAAAGATTCGTACCTTAGATGAGTGACTGCTTGGAAATGCCAGGTGCTGTAAGTTTGGATGTGCGGCTGGTGTAATGAATAACCGCTCAGAATTAGAAATCGGCGAGCAGAGTTCCAATTACAGTCGGGTCGTTATATTCATTTATGCGCAAATACACTTGGGAAAGGTATCAATTCACCTCTTCCCCCAGCTATGGGTTAATTAGTAAGACTTTTATAACTAAACCATTATTATCTATAAAATAATTATACAAAAATTTATATTTCGGTACTAAACAACCCATAGAGTTGTAGATATGCTGTTAAGCAAAAGTAACCAAACCAAACCATGAAATGTTAAATATAGTTCTCAGAATCCGAGTGTAGGTTCTATCAAGCTGGGACTTTAGGGTTTTGGTTAATGTCCAGGCAGTGGCACCATACATTAAGACCACATCTACAGTGGCTCGAAAGAATCTCCGCTTGAGGTTGTCTGGTAGAGCAAACTTCCAGTTTACATCCATTTTATTCAAGGCAGGTCAGGTTTTAGCCATGCGAATTTTCACATCGTTTTCAGTAGAATTTATTTCGCTTCCTAAGTATGTAAAATATTCGACAGATTTTATTGATTAACCTATAATAAAAATTCTGACAATCTAAAAATATCTTCTGGTTTTTCAACCTTTTCTAGGTTATTTTAAAGGAAAAGGTTGAAAAGTCATAAAAAGCAAATCACTCAGTCCAGTAACAATAGAACATTATTGAAAGAAAAAGTTAATTTATTCAGTCGCTATCTTTTTAGTAGTTTTCTCCAGACAATTCGCAATATATTTTCCAGCTTGTAATCTTGGAGTGGATGCAAACAAGGAGGGGTCTTATACTTCACATCAGCTGAAGTTTCTGGGACACGTAATGAGAAAAGAGGGCCTGGAGAATCTGATACTCACATATCGAATAGAGGGAACGAGAGACACGTGAAAGCAACGCATGACAGACTTGGCGGGCTTGAGCAAGTGAATGACAGAATGTGGTCTGGGGTGGTGGCAGAGGAACTAAACTTATTGCGAGCTTCAAGGGATAGGGGAAAGTGGAGGGACATGATCGCCTACGTCCTGAAAGGGCACGGCACATATAAAGAAGAAGAACGTCGATAGCTGTGAAAAGGTTTGTCATATTTATTCTCTTGACATCTGGGCTGTATCCGAGTAGAATAATGGTTAGCGACTCTAGAAAAGAAATCGACGAGATGAGTTCGAATTCCGACAGAAACTCATTACATTCACATTCGCATCAATTCTCTTAGGAAAGGCATGAATCCATCTCCCATGCCTCTACCAATAGAATAATTTTCAAGGCTGACTGCCCTTTCATGCGCTGGGGTGGCTACCATTCCAGGAAAAGGAAAACTTTCCCTTCAAAACTGGCCTGACTGATTTGTTTGTTTAATGTCATATCAACTCATGGGTTATTTAATGCCGACATTTAATTTTCTTGGGAGCTTTGAAGTAATAAATATATTGATATATGTTATTCTGCTTTCACAATTGAATACATGGTAGATAATACAGCGCTTTTGTGTATATACATGCTTGTGTGGACATATTTACTAGAGGCAATGATAAGTGTGTTTTATGAAGTTTTGTTGAAGTTATATTTTGGAATATAGTTTGATTTCTTCTAGAAATTGTTGGATATTATATGGATTAATAAATAACAGACGTTAATATAAGAAGAAGACAATTTTCATTCATGAAAGATGATGTCTCACCGGGTTAACGAGGGATTGAGTTTAGATTCTTTTTATAACCTTAAGTTCTTCATCTTCTATGTACCGCGTCCCTTTACGATATAAGCGATCATGACTCTCCACATCTTTCTATCTCTGTTGTCTTTTAACTGAATTTGTCGCATGCAATCAGTCAGTGGATTTATTATGAAAGCAAAAATATTTACTATTTAGAAAGCATCTCGTGAGTCACACGCATTTTGACGTTTTGAGTATGACGATAAACGACATTGTGTTCCAAAAGATTCATTTCCATTGTTAACCTTCAAAATTTTAAAGTTATTTACCAAATGGAATCATGTTTCTTTATGTGCTTATATATTATTAAGAAATTGGTTGAATTATGGAAGATGATGTCATGTAAATTTTCCCTGGTTGCTATTTCACAAGTGTATGTTTTCTGTCGATTGTCGCGTGAATTTTGGAACACCTACACCCGACAGCAAGGCCTCTGATCGGGAGATTGGGGGTTTTGAACAGCGTGAAGCCACCTTTTAACTACTGTTATTCCCAGGTCCACCTTGGCACGGTGTGGTAGCACCTGTTAGGCTTCCAGCTATGGGCAAATAGTGAAGCCCCAAACAAAAATCAACAGTACATTTTTATAATAAAATAACCAACAATAGATTTTATAGTACAATGGCAATTCAATACAAAAAATATAAAAATACATTTTTATACTAAAATTACCAACATTACATTTCATTATGTACAAACAATATATCTATAAAAACATACATTTACCCTGAAAGTATAAAATTATGTACAAAAGATCTGTGGTTGAAAGCATAAAATTACGTAAAAAATATTAAGATTTCGGCATTAAATAACACATAGAGGTTTTGATATACCACTAAACAAAATCAACCAACACGCGTATTTTGTGCGGGCTTGTTTCTGTAATCATGTTTTGTTTTTGTTTTTATAGAAATTCTTGGAAATTACGTTTATCGGTGGATTCAACTTACGAAATTAATCCCTCCCCCACACACTCACTTTTTAAAAAATTGTTTAAACTAATCTTTTGTGCACAATAAAATCTGCCATTGGCCCAGCAAAGGTGCGTGTATTTCTTTTAATTTGTTATAAATACTTCTAGCTTAATGTCTACTGAGACGAACTTTGGCGTTCTAGGGCGTTTCGATATGGTGTAACGGTTAAGAAGCTTGCCTTGCTAGATTGATTACGATTGGATAGTGAGTCCTATCTTCATTGGATTCCCCAAACTTTTGTCTTGCGCAATATCTACGCTTAGAAAATCCCCACTCGCACAGTGTTCTTTTCTTTGTATGAACTTTTATCCCAAATCAATACATTCTATATATTTTCTTTTGTAGTATCGATTTCGGAGAAGAGAATATTTAAGAATTCATTTTTAACTATACAAATCGAGGTATAAACTGCGTCATATTTTATGTAATATTTTTTTTTTCACAATAAGATCGGAGTCAACTAAACAAAATGGTAAAAATTAATATATATTAATTAAAAATTACTTATTTTATAAAAAAAAATGGCGCTTCGAAGTGGTGTAATGGTTAGCGAGTCAGGCTTTAGCCATGCAAATTTTCACATCATTTTCAGTAGAATGTATTTCCCTTCCGATGTATGTAAAATATTCAATAGATTTTAATGAATGTAATCTGGAAATCTGATATACCAGACAACCTGAATCGGAGATTCTTACAAGCTACTTGTACACCACATCTACAGTAGCTTAATAGAATCTCCGATTGAGGTTGTCTGGTAGATCAGATTTCTAGATGACATTCATTAAAATCTGTCGAATATTTTACATACATCGGAAGTGAAAAGGATGTGAAAATTCGCATGGCTAAAACCTGACCTGCCTTGAATAAAAAGGATGTAAACTACCAGACAACCTCAATCGGAAATTTTTTCGAGCCACTGTAGAGTCGGTAATGTATAGTGCCACTGCTTGGACATTAACTAAAACCCTAGAGTCTCAACTTGATGGAACCTACACTCGGATGCTGAGACTTATACTTAACATATCATGGTTTTGTTTGGTTTGGTTGCTTTTGTTTAACGGAATATCAACACTTCTATGGGTTACTTAATGCTGAAATCTATATATTTTGTATACAATTATCTTTTTGAGATAAGAATGGCTTAGTGATACAAATCTTACTAATTAACCCATAGCTGGGGGTAGAAGAGGTGGATTCATACCTTTCCGAATTGATTTTGTGCGTAAGAGAACACAACAGGAACTGGAACTCAGGTTCCCTGTTAACAATTCCTAGTCATTATCTTTTACACCATCCAAACTTACAGCATGTGGTATTCCCAAGCTGTCACCTATGTAGGTACTATCCAGGCTCGACGTTGCTTAACTTCGGTGATCGTACGGGAACTGGTGTTTCAAC